GAAAAATGATGGGAAACATCCAAGCAGGTCTTTCTAGCATAGGTTTCTCCGTCCACTTCTTCATGCGTGACTAGGTCCTGGCAGCATTTAGGGTCAGCCTGAGGCCCATAGGCAAGGAGGACACGCCAGTCACATTGCAGGGTTCAGTGGTTCAGAAGCAAAGAATGAACCTAGTTAGAAGGGAGAAACAAACCTCCGCAAGACCTTTGGCTTTGGACACTTGCCCCTGGTGCTGACCGCATATCAGTGAGTGCCGCTCACTTTTCCCTCCTTTTGCGCTCAGTGTAATTGGGACCTCGTGGTGTTGCTGATTAGTCCATGCTTTCTGGTTCCGGGTGACATGGTCAGCAGAACTATAGGCACAAGATGTCTTCCTTTTGTCCTTTGGTTGAACGTGATGAAGGATGTTGTGTGTAGCAGCTTCTCCATAGAAACACCCCTGGCAACTCCAGCTCTCATTATCCCCATTCAATCAGCAAGACCCTTGAACAGGAGATGGCTCTGTTCACCTTCCCCTCCCACAAAATGCTGGCAATCCCAGCCTCCGTTTGGCTTCATGGACCTGAGTTGGTTTAATGGATCTGTGCTGTACACCATGCGATGTTAGCACCGAATAATTTGGCAACCAAATTAAAGGAGGTACTCAGGAGAATCAGGCTTGGTTTGGGCTCCGCTGCTCCTTTAGGGAGGGACTCCATTATGGCAGTCCCTGTGGGTCTGAGCAGATGTCCCCTCCCCTTGCTCAGCAGTGCTCATTTACTCAGCTCTTTAGTGAGCTTCCTAGTAGGCTCGGGGCTGCTCACCGCGGGGCTCAGAGGGCCCCTCTCTCCCTGTCTCACTCCTCAGGCGTTTGCAATAATGATGTGTGGTGCCCAAGGCCGCAAGTTCCATTTGTTTTCCCAGGTGTTGCTCCTAAGCAGGAGCTCCCAGCAGGTGTCAGTAACTCTCGAGGACCAGGGGCCTCTGACTGCGGTGCTGAGGGACAGCCCACTTCCTAGGCCCCTGCTATGTTGCAGAGACCCTCTCCCACAGCTTCTCTATTGTGCAGCAGGCAGGAGGAGGAGGGCTGGGGTGGGGCAAGAGCAGCTGGGCCATGAAGGAGCCCTCAACAAGGGGAAAGCAGCTCATCTCAGGTCTCAGAGTCCCAGGCCATGGGAGGTGAGGGACATGGAGGGCAGTGCTTGTCTGGGAGGTGTGGAATTGACTCAAAAGGAAGGCTGTCAAGAAATAAGAAGGCCAGCAGACTTGAAGCCATGCATGCGAGAGGGCTACCTGGCTCCAGAGAGAGGCCAGAGCCTAGAGGAAGCCTCTGGCCAGTGCCCACAGCCTCAGAGGAAGGTAAGCTATAAGGCCAGCAACAGGGTGGGCAGGTGAAAAGAAATGAAGCCAGGACTTCATAGTAGGAGAGGATCTCCATGGGCCACTGCCTGGACTAGCTGCCACCTCCTCCTCC